CGAGGCTCTTCTTCGGCACAAGCCTTAGGAGAGTCTCACATCCTCCAATGCTGCGAAGGACATGACAGTCAGTTTATGGCAAAAATTTGTTAGAGCGAAGGAGCGAAGAAATTCTTAACTCACCTCGACGCCATCAGACGGTGATGTTTTGGGGTCAGCCCGCCCAACCTCGGCCGCACCTCATCGGCACATTGCCGTTTTGAGCCTTCCCTCTACTTGGAAGGCTCAGACGGAGCGAAGTGGATGGATCCTGCCGACTCCAGGGGCGCCTCAGATGGGCCGAATGGAGCGAGCGGCCTGATTCTGCCAGCTCTAGGGGCCGTCCTCCCCCTCCTGCCCCGGGGCATGCCACGGGAAGGGCCCCGCCTGTGGCAAAGATGAGTCCTCATCCCTATCTCCCAGCTCATCCCATTGGACGGGTGACCTAGAACCATCGCCTCCCTCTCGTTCTTCTTCTTCTTCCTCCTCCGAACCTTGCCGCCACCTTCCTCGATCCAGCTTCACCCGCTCCTTCGCCCACCGCTTTGCTTTCTCCTCATCCTTCTTCTTCTTCCTCTTCTTGTCTATGGGACGGTTCACCGTCCTCATGGCCGCGTGCTCTGGCAATAGCACGACAGAGGCCAGAAAGCTCAACCTCGCTGGCAGCTCGACGAAGCCCACGTCGGGCTGCATCATGGGATGTCCTAGGACCGGGAACACGGCGTTGGACTCCTCTGTCACCTCCTTGATGCACTACATGACCTCGCTGTCGTGGAGTGGCCCCTGGGAGAGCATCGTCCCATCGAGCTGCGCGTCGGGTGTCATCCTGTATAGAGGGAGGGTGCGCGCCATCAGCGGTGCCACCCTCCTCACGTTATACGCCTCGATGACACCGGCCCCGCGGAGACCATGGTTCTTCAAGAGCACGATGGCATCTACGAGATCATGGAGCCTCTTCTTTCCTTCTTGGGAGGTCCCCACCCCCACACCGGCAGCGCCTCTTCGATTAGGTGTCTGGTGAAGTTCAGCAAGGGAGCGGTGGCTTCGTTCTTCACGTAAAACCAAAGCGTGTGCCATCCCTTGTTGGACCTCGATAGTGGACATGTCATGTACTCAGAGGCCCGGTGGCCCTAGAGGTGGATACCTACGGATCCCATCGGCACCGATAGGTCCCCACTTCTTTCCCTTTTCTTATGCAGGGAGATGGAGAAGAAGTACCTCCAAAGCTCGAAGTGGGGTTTGATCCCTAGATACCCTTTGCACAACGCGATGAAGGCCACGATGTGCGGGATCCCATTGGGATTCAGGTGCTGCAACTCGATCTAGTAGTGGTGCAGTAGTCCTCGAAGGAATGGGTGGGGAGGAATCGTAAGTCCACGCTTGTGGAAGGGCATGAAGGACACGACGTAGCCATCGAGAGGCGCCAGCGCCTCCTCACGACTGGGCACGAGCCACTCCACCGCCTCAGTTCTCCCATGGAGAAGACCACACTTGATGAGGCCCTCTATGCGTATGTGGGTGACGTCGGAGCGATACCATGACTCCATGGGAAGCAAGGGCGGAGGAACGAGAATTTTGCTAGCGGTGAAAGAGCGAAAGCAAGAGATCCAAGTGCTTGCGGTGGAGAAGCAGAAACGACGAGGCTGTAGTTAGGCGTATCAAAGACGAAGGGAAAACCCCTAGTTATAGGGGAAGGTGGAGCGAGAGGCAAACCGTCCACCTCGATTGACGCACCTACCGCACCTTGTCACTTTGCCTCTCCAGAAGTCATGCGCACGCCACCCCTGGCTGCCCCCTCGAAGGGCGCGCCGGATGATGGTTCGCCCCTCGATGGGCCAAAAATCGCCACATGTAAGGAGGGATACGGAGCTAAAAATGCTCCCACGGCCCATTAAGGCCTAGGAGTTCAAAGGTTGGCCCATCGATGGGTTCACAACCGCTCCGGGGCACCTTTAGAGTGAGGGGTGATTAAGGATGGGTCTGCTAATGGCCAACACCCGGGCGTACGAGCACCACGGGCATCCCAATCCACGTTCAAGTCTTGGCTAGTGCACGGTCCATGGTTTTTCCTCGTAGAAAGGCAATGAGCCCTTGGGACCAGTCAAATGGACCCAAGAACTATATGGACTAGCCGTCAGGAATTTGGAGTCGGTCACCAGCTGACCCATGCTAGACCCCTATGAACAGGAAGCCAGGGCCCTACTCGGACTAGCCCATTAACAGCTCACCGAGCACCATGATTCGTCCATCGAGGAAAACATGGCACGGCTCAATCGCTCCGTTTTATCAAAAAAAAACGCTTGAGGGAGGACAACCACAAGACGAGCTGACCCTCGACTGGACCCTTGCTACGCGCAGGGGCTCAGGGGAAGTTGGACTCGCAAGGAGACCGAATACGTGGTCGCATGATAATGGCGGATCGATCGGATCCTAGGGAGGGATCGGAATCAAGAGAGATATTTTTCGACCCCCCGAATCCTGCAGCTGCATGCTCCTAAAGAATTCCAACGCGATGGAATGGAATCGTGACCCTACCAAAGACATCCCGTAGCCCGCAAAGGGAGATCAAGATCCTCAGAATCCTTCTGTCCGAAAAAGCGTTCGAAGGAGTATCCTACTCCTCCGTAGGCTCGGGGGCTACTGTCAGGTATCAGTATTAGGGATACCTAGAAGAAAGAAGCTGATGGCCGCAAATGCTAACTCGCCCGGATGGTCAAGAGCGTATTTTGGTCTTGGTCGACCCCAAAGGTACGGGCTCCATCCCGCCCGACCCCGAGGGTGCGGGCTCCATGTCGCCCGACCCTGAGGGCGCGGGCTCCATCACACCCAACCCCGAGGGTGCATGCTCCATGTCGCCCGACCTCGAGGGCGTGGGCTCCGTCACGTCTGACCCCGAGGGTGCGGGCTCCGTCTCGCCCGACCCCTCGAGCACGGACTTCACCTCGCCTGACCCCTCGAAGGGGGATTCTGCCTCCCCCGACGGGGGTCTGTACCGCCTCCAACCACTACGAGTCTAAGAGTATGAACCCAGGATCAAACTTCTGACACCAGAAGGGGAGTAGGCGCGTCTTGACGAGATCCGCGGCCACGACGGGTCATACTTGAGGACTCACATCACCAACAGTGTCGGGCGTGCCGGCGCTATGCTACCTAATCCCCGTACGACTTCCGACGGGGGTATCTGCTAACCATGCTGCTCGTCGGAACGAAATGGAGTGCCACGACCGGCTGACGACGCCCACGTATAGCGTCAGTGATGAACAGGGTCGCGACGTGGGGCCGTCCATGTCATCATCTATAGGACCAGCGGGACCCGCGTAAAGGAGATGAAGGACGCCGCGACCCTAGAGGCCTTCTTCCTCCTCGCTTTTCTCTCTCTCGTGTAACCTGCGCCTTCCCCTTCAACTATAAAAGGGGAAGCAGGACGCTCACGAAGGGCACGACTCAACGTTGAATGGCTCAAGGGACTGAGTTCAACTAGACTCAACTCCATTCGATCCTTCCATCAGAGACTTGGGAACTTCTTCCTCTCTCGTCCGTTTGTAACCCCTATTACAAATAAATGTTGGTAACACAAGCAGCCTCAAACTGGACGTAGGGACATTCCGTCTGAACTAGTATAAACATTTGTGTCCTCCGAGCACGCCATCCGGACCAGACGCGCAAATACAAATTTACTAGTCGGCGAAACACTGACACTACCGCACCATGAACTTTGATATGTTTATTAAAGGCATTTTAGCAAGTTTAAATGCAAACAATTTGTTTTTCATTTTTGAAAGGCAACAACTGAACCATCTGTCGACATGTTAATGACCAAAAGGTGTAGGTAAATAAAAGGGAAAATTGCTAAAAAAGTTGGAGGTCAAATAAAACATTGAAAGGCAACAACTGAATAATCTGTCGACATGTCAACGACGGAAAGGTGTAGGACTGTAGGTAAATAAAAGGGAAACTGATTAAAAAGTTAGAGGTAAAATAAAACAAAGGTGCGGGAAATGATTAAAAAAGTTGAAGGTAAAATAAAACAGAGGCATCTGTAAATTAAGGGGTAGTGATTAAAAATAAGATAAAATAAAAGCACATAATAAATTATTGAGAGAGTTGGAGGTAAAGTAAAACAAAGGTGCGACAAATGATTAAAAAAGTTAGAGGTAAAATAAAACAGAGGTGTCGGTAAATAAAGGGGGATGGTTAAAAATGGAGATAAATTGAAAACAAATAATAACTGTTGAGAGTGGGATTTGATTGGAGGTAAAATGAAAAAAAAAAGCTATAAATTGTTGAGAGTGTGATTTTGATTTGAGGTAAACTGAAAAACAAATATAATTTATTGAGAGTGGGATTTGGTTGGAGGTAAAATGAAAAACATATATAAATTGTTAAGAGTCGGATTTGAACCCACGCCCTTTCGGACCAGAACCTTAATCTGAAGCCTTAGACCAACTCGGCTATCTCAACTGCTGAAAATTCGTACCCAAATTGTCTTATTTGTTTTGAGATACAGAGTATAGCAACAAACCGTCCCCTGCGTGTACTCTTCTTCACACGTTCGTCGTGGAATGCTACCGGCAAAGCATCCGTGTCGTATGCGCGGGCTTCCGACACCAACCCAGCCCAAGAAGCCATACCAAGGCCTCATTTAGTTTGGCCACCGAATCGGCGCCACCGAATTTCTACAGTACCGTTTTGTTTTTATTTGATAATAATTGTCCAATCGTTGACTAATTAGGCTTAAAATGTTTGTCTCGCAAAGTACAACCAAACTGTACAATTAGTTTTTAATTTCGTCAACATTTAGTACTCCATGCATGTACCGTAAATTTGATATAACGGAGAATCTTCTTTTTACATAGTGTCAAATTCTGGAATTGAGGGAACTAAACAGGGCCCAAAGTCCACTGTCGGATATGCGCGTGATCCCATTTTCCTGGCTGTATAAAAAGACCTTCGCCCTTCTTCTCGGCTGCCACGATCACCATTCACAAATCACAAACGACCCATAGATACATACTCCAGCCATGGCCGCTGTCCATCGTCCTGCCTGCGCTTCCTGCAGCTCACTGCTGCTCGCCTCCCTGCTCCTCATCGCCATGGCCATACTCGCCCTCGCCGCCGTGGGCAAGGGCGTGGGAGAGCCCGACCCGGACCCCGAGCGCGGCGGCGGGAGCCCCATGGACTGCCCGATAGAGTGCGCCTTGAAGCTGACCGGCTACATCATGGAGACCATCAAGTGCTACGCGGCGTGCATGGGAGGAGGAGGAGGGGAGCTGAGTGCCGCTGAGGAGAAGCACGCGGCGGCCGTCATGCGTGGGGTGTGTCGTCAGCGCGTGCTGGGGTGACTCGCTCGTCACCGTCACAGGCTCACGGCGTGTAATATAGAAATATATACAACGGAACTCGATGTATCCAGGTAGCGCGTGAGCGCATATTTATAGACATAGTCACTTCCAAGTGTATGAATTAATGTACCACAGTCCACAGTACGTGTGATTATTTGAATTTGTGATGCTACGCACAGTACTTGTACTACTCATCCACGTACCCCTTCCGAAGAGAAATGCTAAAACAGGTGTGGGCACGTGATTTCTGGGCGGTCGGACCCGCACGGGGATGCGGTGGAAGCCGTCCGATCCCGCGACTCCCGTGCCCGCGGCTCCTTCCTCTCTCCCCTCCAGCGGCGCCAGCGTCGGGTTCTGGCGGCGCCGGCGTTGATGAGGTAGGTGTCCGACTCCTCCTCTTCCACCGGAGGCGAAGACGACGGCGGCGGTAGCTAGGGTTTCGGCGAGCCTCTCTCCTTCTTTCTTCTTCAACTTCAATGGGTATGGAAGGGGCCGACCAGGGGAGACAGATAGGTCAGGTGGTGGGATGGTGGTCGGACGGTTTAGAGGAGCTGGCGATGGTAGCGGTGGCCGGGTCAGGTCGGAGTGGGGGAGGCGTGCCGAAGTTGAAGAAGATGACGGTGGCCGAACTCGCTGGAGCTGGAGAAGATGGCGGCAGTAGGAGGAGGGGAAGAGGGAACCCTAGCGCCCACGGCTGGACGGTGGTCGGCGGTGGGGGCGAGGACGAGGTCCGGCGGCGGCGAGCAGAGGGAGGAGGAAGAAGACCCGTACAAAAAAAATCGGGTGCTCCCTCCCTCTCAAACACTCGGATCCAAGATAGATAGACTCCTTCTGAAACGTCGTCACCGTCTACTCGTCTTATCTTTTTTTCGACACGAGGCAAATTCCATTCCTATTCATCAAACGACGGAAATACACCAGTTTTGAACAGCACCATAGAAGAGACAGCGACCAGAGACCAACCGCAACCTGTGCTACCGTACGACTGGAACTCTGACTCAGAACCCAGCCTGACCACAGTGCTACACACCAAAACCAAATGGAAACATTCAGTCATAGAACCACCATCACAAACTACCGTTACAGACTCCACCGAGCTACTGAAAAACACATCGTCAACGACCTGTGTCCAGCGGCAGATGGTTGATCGAGGACCGTAGTAGTAGTACTGAATAGCCGATGACCGGCAGCAATCGCTGGCAGGCGTGGCAGCATTGGATTGCAGCTGATAACCGGTGACGGTGAGCGCCTGCCATCTTTTCACACGTTCCTCGTGCCAACCCTACTCCAAGCTCCATCCATCTCGATCATGCTTATCCAATCATCAGCTGGGGAACAAAAGGGTCTAAATAATAAAGATTTAAAGTTAGGGTTAGAGATGAATGATGATTTGAGGTTAGGTAATTATGATCTAACGAAGAAATCAGGATCACTGGGGCTGTAGCCCCGGCAGCCCCATTTTGATCCGCCCCTGCCTATAACTAGTACAAAACGCCTCTCACACACCCTTCCGACTTCACTTTAATTTCACTTCCTCCTACATACGGTATATTGTGCTTCCGTCGCAGGGTCCAACACAAAAACGAAACGCGCCAAACAGCCAGAGCCCTGAGAAGCCATGGTTTCTGCCCTTGCCACCATGCGGTATGCCCCTGGCGTCGCCATCGCCGTCGCCCCGCTCCTCCTCCTCCTCCTCCTCCTCATCGCCACGGCCTTCGTCACGACCTCCGCTGGTGAGACAGGCGAGGCCGACGACCCGGACGCCGCGCGCGACGACAACCAGAGGATCATCCTGGACTGCACGATGAGGTGCGTGACCGAGGCGATGGGCTGCGCCACGAGGTGCGCGGGCGCGCGCCCCGATGAGGCGCCCGTGTGCGCCGCGGCCTGCGTCCAAAGCGACATCGGCTGCCTCGCCGGCTGCAGGGCCGCCGCAGCCTGGACGACCTGATCAGTCGTCTCCGCCCGCGCCCGTGCCACCAGCCGCGTGATGGGCGTGACGCAACCACTCCGTCGTCCCTCCGCACGAGCGTGCAGTGAGCGTGTGTGCATGCATAGTCGATATCGATCGACAGGCGGCCCTGCGGTTGCCATGATGCGCAGCTAGCGGTAGAACTAGAATGGTCGATTTTGTAACGTCTTTCAATGATATCCGACTCATGTCTGCAATTCATGTCTTTGCCGTTAATGAACATCTTTTAATCAATTAACTTGTTCACGGTCCCAACATAAGCCCACCTTAGGCTTATATTGTGAAAGTATATCCACGATGTATATAATGATACTTATTACACATCATGAATACTACGTAATAATTTTGCGTATATTTTTTGTTAAACTTAAAAAAGATTTGACTCCTCGATAAATAAGATGTGCATTTATGTTTAGGATGGAGAGTGAGTACATGACATGCCATAAACCGAGTTGCTCACCAGTCAAGCAGGGTCAACAAGTTGATATATATGAATGGAACGTTTGGACGTTTGGTTTGAGGTACGGGGGTGCTATATTATCTTCTCATATCTCTCTCTTTTTTGAGGTTTATAGTCAAATAGTATGAGTTGATTTATAATAACCCTCGTCCCTAATACTAAGTGACGTAATTCATCATGAGTTAATCTAATGAACCTCGTACCAAACATGAAGTGATCATAAAGAACTAGCAGTGCTCTTCTATAAAATGTTTGGTTTAAGGAACCACCTCATTATAGTTGATGGTGCGCCATGAGCTCTTCCATAAAATTTAGTTGAATGCCTTATCTATTACTTCTCTTAGTCTTCTAATATAAATCTTCCTCGCAAGAGGATGTATATGATGTTGTGGATGGCTTGTTTCCTCCGATTTTTCTTCTCCCCTTATGTTCTCCACGGTGCGGGGTGACAAAAAAATTGGGCCTCATCGTGAACTAGAAATTAACAGTCTATCTTTTAGTGTGGTGCACCATTTTTTTTGCTTTTTGATGGCCCCCATAACAAGCCAACAAAACACAAAACTAAGGATGTGTTTGTCTCTGCTTATTTCGTGGTGGCGGGAACGTGAATCAAAGAATCTTGCCAAACATCTTGCGGCAACCATGATTCTGCCGACCACCCATGAAAAGAAAAATCGAGGAATGAACTGCACCGTCGATTCCCCGTATCACAACCATGGAGCCACGCCTTGACTACCGGTTCCAAATAGGGCCTAATAAGTCTTTGTCAACATGAGAAGTTTCTCTCTTACGTATTTTTGTGTTTGTTTGGTAGAACTTCTACTCCTGATCTCAGTGAAAGAAGTGATTTTATGCTTAAAAGTGATTCTCTTGGATTGTCTAAGATAAAATATATATAAAGGTGATTCTATGCAAGAAGTGAATCAGGAGAGCCTACTTTTTTTTAGCTTTTAGTTTTATAGTTCATTTTTTTAGAAAATCACTTCACAAAACTAGTATTAGAATCACTTCTATGAAAATATGGTTTCACATGGCTCCTCATGGATTTAGTTTGGAAGCGATTCTAAGAGCCCTGCCAAACATGTGTGCTATATGCATATCTTTTTGGCCCCATAGGAGCAATGACAGTGCCAATGAGAGGGCGAAGCTCACATTGAAGGGCGGTTATAGTATGTATTTGTAGTTTCACATATGGGAGAGCTCACTAGTTTTAGTTTTGTTTGGGCTAAACTATTATGCACTCCCTCAGTCACACAGAGAAAGACATTATAGGACTTGTAGCATAAATTAAGGATCCGACAAAATGACCTGGGTACCCTTTAAAAAATACTAGTAGGCAGTTTGGATACCCTTCAAAATGTCTATCTTTGATGACAGATTTTCAATGCTACAAAGTATTTATGGGACGAAAAAAGTATATCTATGTTGGGCTCTTAGCAGCCATGTTCCTGAAAATAGGAACAAGAATGCTATGATTATTTTATAATTTTTTGCACTGTAGAAATGCAACTGTTCCTAAAACAACGTTTGTTGAACCAGAAATGTGGTCATGTTTGACGTTCTCGAGCGTTAAGATTGCATCCTTTGCGCAAAGAGAAAATGTTGAAATTATTTTATTTTGTCCATAATGTCCAACAGTTTTCATGTAAGATTTTAGCCCTTGGAAAATACATATTCTTTTAATAATAAATGAAATCTATATACTCTCTTTATTTTAAATTATAAGACGTTTTAATTTTTAGATATATAATAAAAACAATGTACTCCTATCTTAGAAAGAGACTAGGTAGCGTGTTCATGCGTTGCTACGGGATAACTAATAATTTATACTAAAAACACATGGATCGCACGATAAAATAACAATATTGTTAAATTAAATACCAACGTTAAAAGTGACATTTAATCAAAAAGCAAAGTTTATGAATTTAACATAGTCATGGAGTGCGCGACGTCGCAGCTCATAAATTCTAGAGCTTCCAGAGATTGGGTCGAATCCAACCTAGAGCCTCGGAACCCTGCATCTTTTCCTGGACGGGCTTCACTTCGGATGCGCTGGTAGCAATATCAATGATCTCCAGTCGATGGACCAAGTCGCATGGATCCTCATAAAATGGCTCAGATATGTAGATTTTGTAGATTTTTGTTACTTGTTGTACTTGGATACACTTGTTCCATCAAGCTTTCATTACTCGTAACGGTCGTGGAGGTTGCGATCACCGATGTCCCTCACCATGGACCACTATGTGCAAATGCATTTCGTGGAGGTTGCACTTGTAGATGGCGCGCAATTTGGATTTCTTCAAGAAGTCGATGCAGGGGTGAAGCTCTGTGTCTCGTGGAACGTGCTCACCATGGCACCCACAATGTGCAGCTCATCGTTTGATTCTGTAGTGCGCAGTGGCGGATCCCGCCGCCGCAGAACGTATGGCGGCACGGGCCCCGACGATGGCGGCGGCAGCACCCACAAGAGGAGCAAAGACGCCACCCTTGCCGCCAAGGTTGGAGTAGACAAGACGCCTCCGGGACGCGTTGTTGCAGAGCAGACGGAGATTTCTCCAGTGTGAGTCGATCGTCAAGAACTTGTCTTGGCAAAGGGACGATGGACCCCACAATGCAAACTCCAATTTGGTGTCGAGTAGCAATGCGTCCATGTTAGTGTGTCGACTCCAACCCAACCAAGCATGCAACGCGACTAGCTACACTGGAGCACCTAAGCATAAAGCCATGATCCACGGCCATGGAATCCAATCAATCACGAAGATGAATAACAATGATGACGCCTCGAATCAATGAGAACACGATCTCACTTGAAGAACATGTCCCTCATGTCTTCTAGCTCGATGGCTCAATAGGGTGCCGCACAACCAACACAAGATGAGGATCACACAAGCACAAGCAATTTACTGCTTTTGCATCCGCGTCCTCGTGGCCATTGGTGGGATGGAGGACCCACATTGCCGTCGATGGACCCTAGACACATGTTTCGATGAAATGAGGACGCCGCCGCACGTATTCGTCTGCTGGCGGGAGCTCAAATGCGGGGCACGGGCCCCGGCAATGCACTTGGATTTACTCCCAATCTTAATGGATTCAATGATGTAGATGAGTGAGGTTTTGCCATACACAAGACGCCGCCTTTTGAGCGCCCCATGAACGCCACCCCCCACACGAGGAGCAAACGCGCCCTTCCGTCGCACCGCGCGCCGTCGGCGGCGTCTTGGCTTGGACAAGACCTTCTCCGGACAAATGATTCAGATTTCAACGGTCGCTGGTTTACTCGACGCCGACGACGTCCGGTCCGGTGCCGCCGTTTCTAGTAAGCTCCCGAGGCATGATTTTTCGATCGGACGCGTCGTCCGAGACCGAACGACGCCGAGCCAGGTATGCGAGAAGGTCAGCTTACGTTCAACGAGAACGCCAAGGCGATCAACTCCATTTCGTTTCATGGTGAAGCAAGCGGATCGAAAAAATAGACGCCGCCCACCGCAAGTCGTATGGTAGCATATTTACACCATACTCCACTAGATTCTAAATGCATATGCAATGAGTTAGATCTAGTGGCACTTTGATAACCGTGATTTCGATACAAGTTTCACCCTCTTAATAGTATGGACTCAAGGAGATCCTCTCTTTATCATGCTATGATCTTCATTTGCTTCACCACTTGGAGTGTGCTACCTATCTCATGACCACTTGATAAACTAGGTAGGAACTTTTTTCATCAATTCACCAAAACCAAACTATTCCGGTCGAGAGAGAGATAGTGACATTCTCTTGGGATTGGGAGGCTGAGACATGGAAGACAGATGACATCAACTATGGTTCACACAAGAAACAACAAGCGAGGGCGATGGAACACGTAAGTGTGAAACCAAATAAAAGGAGAAAAAAGCTGTCCCTTTTGCAAATGCAAAGAGGGGAAGTAATTAAATGTAGGCAGATTTGGCAAGGTTCTCAGAAATGCAAAGATGTTCTTTTTGTCTTAATTCTCTTTTCTTCTATGTTAATTCTCTTTTCTTTTACTCGTTGCCATATATGCTGGTGCATGCAAACATGTAATATGTATATGTATATCACAATAATTTTCTACTTCCTATTTTGCCGTGATTCCTTTATCACATGATAGACAATATTCAATCGAGGAGAATGGCACGATCAATCAGTAATTAAGATGTCGTGGGATCACAGACGTGGACAGAAAACGAACCAAAATAAATGTCGCACTAAAAAATGTTCATACTTTTTTTATCTTTTTACCTTCTTTTTATTGCAGGAGATTGTTGTCTTATATACGAAGGCTACGTTCGCATTCCCACGTGGTAAACCGTCTCTGCGTGCACAAAGCGGAGAATGTCTTGCATTCCGTAACCGCTGTTGGTTTGCGTAACAGCAGCCACTTCGCCTCTCGGCGTTCTTCTTCCCGACCGATCCGACCCCGTGAGCTAAACCAGACAACCCAGCCATGGAGGAGCCTGGGACAAGCCGCCCGCCCGCCTCTGGCACCGCCGCCGGCGACTTC